ATTGCCCTTTGTATGTAGCTAAACATCCATCACAATTGGGATAGCTGATGTGGAGTGGAACTCCTAAGGCCGATCTTTCACGATTTTGAGGGGGATCCCAAGAAGAACACGAAGAACATGAGAGGGAAAACACTCAAATAGACAAAACTCAATCACATATGTGCTAGATCCACATACACACAGGGGAGATACAAGATCCAAAGTCAACACAAGAGGGTACAAAGGGTAGCTAGTTCATCCCAATCCTTGAAGGAGAGAGGTCTTGAATCCTTGGAGGATCTTCCCACAAGGGGGTCTTGAATCCACTTGGGAGATCTTCTCACATGGAGGCCTTGATCTCCATGGGAGTAGGGGTAAGTGGATGAGCAAAGCTCTATCTCAATGTTGAGCTATCACAATGTTAACCCTAAAACGTAGGTGGTAGCAGCTTCATGGCCTTCCTCCAAGTACTTGATCACAGACAAGGTCTCCGCTTCAGGTAGTAGCCATGTCTCACATGTGGAGGAGTATGTAAGTTCGGAGAGGAGCGAGTTCACGTCGGCTTCGATAGCCCTTGCTCGAGCTCTAGTCATTGGTTCACGTGGTGTCTTGGGAGACGAAGGTAGGTCCATGGGGATGACTGTAGGATGCTCCGCATCATCTCCCCCCTTTCCTTGGAAACGATCCGACCTTGGATCGAAAACCTTATCACCATGGAAGGGAGATAGATCCTTGTATGCATTGTTGTTGTAGCGTGCTAGCACCTTGAAGGGTCTGGCGGCAAAAGGTAGCTTGGACTTGCGCTCGTTCGGGAAACTGTCCTTCTGAAGGTGTATCCACACAAGATCTCCTAGGTTGAATATCATGGGGTGCTTGTTGATGTTGAGCTTGGTCGCGAGTCGTTGTACTTGGCGCTCGATTGCTTGTCGTGTTTCTTCATGCACCTTCTTGAGATAAGTTGCTCGTGCACTCACGTCCATGTTAGTGCGCTCTTGTAGTGGTAGCGATAGAATGTCCGATGAGGATAACAGGTTGAATCCGTAGACGACCTCGAAGGGGACTTGCCAGTAGTAGAATGTCTTGCTCGATTGTAGGCATACTCGGCGATGGGTAAGCATTCCTCCCACTCCTTGATGTTCTTCTTGATGAACACGCAGAGGAGAGTAGATAGCGTCCGGTTTGTGACCTCCGTTTGGCCGTCGGTTTGCGGATGTTATGCCGATGAGAAGAGTAGTTTGATTCCGAGCTTGGCGCATAGTGTCTTCCAAAAGTAGCTAAGGAACTTGACGTCGCGGTCCGACACAATAGTCTTGGGCACTCCATGCAATCTCAAGATTTCCCTACAAAAGAGATTTGCAACATGTGAAGCATCATCTATCTTGTTGCACGGAACGAAATGTGCCATCTTAGAGAAACGATCCACAACAACAAATACCGAATCTTTTCCATTTTGAGTTCTAGGCAAACCAAGCACAAAATCCATACTAATATCTTCCCATGGGTGATAAGGAATAGGAAGTGGCATATATAGACCATGGGATTGAGCTTTAGACTTAGCTTTGTGACATGTAGAGCATCGGTTGGTGTAGCGTGAGACGTCACAGAACATCTTGGCCCAAATGTAGTTGTTGGAGAGCGTTACGTATGTCTTGTTGCGTCCAAAGTGTACCATAAGTCCTCTGCCGTAAGCCTCTTGCAAAAGCAACAAACGAAGAGAAGACTTGGGTATACAAAGCTTGTTAGCTTGCATTAGATAATCATCCTTGATATAATATCGCTCCCGAGTTTTATGCGGAATAGCAAATGAAGCATCATGCGCATACAAGTCTTTAATGTGCTCAAATCCTATGACATTCAATTCAAGTTGGGTCACAAGCATGCATTTGCGTGAAAGAGCATCCGTCACAACATTTTCCTTACCCTTGATGTACTTGATCACATAAGGAAATGACTCAATGAACTCACTTCATTTGGCATGTCTGCTTATTCAATTTCGTTTGACCCTTAAGGTATTTAAGCGTTTCATAATCCGTATGAAGAACAAATTCATGAGGACGAAGATAATGCTCCCAAATATGCAAGACTCATCAAAGCATACAACTCTTTGTCATAAATGGGATAGTTAAGTTGTGCTCTGGATTTTTCCCCGCTAAAGTATGCTATAGGGCGCTTCTCTTGCATCAACACGCCTCCTATGCCATTACCACTAGCGTCGCAATGCACTTCAAAAGTTTTATCAAAGTTGGGTAAGGCAAGTAATGGAGCATGCGTAAGCAAGTTTTTAAGCTCATGGAATGCAGTGTCTTGGGAAGGACCCCAAACAAATGGTGCATTCTTCTTACTTAATGCGTGCAATGGCGATGCAATAATGCTGAAGTCCTTAACGAATTGACGATAGAAACTGGCTAGACCAAGAAAACTACGCACTTGTTGCAAATTGGTTTGTTGTGGCCAAGTTTTAATTGCGTCAATTTTAGACTCATCAACATGAACACCCTTAGAAGACACAACAAAGCCTAAGAAAATAAGCTTATCAACACCAAAGGCGCATTTTTCCATATTTGCATAATGACACTTGCTTCTAAGAACTTGCAAGACGCCCCTAAGATGTATGACATGATCTTCAAGAGATTGACTAAACACAAGTATATCATCAAAGTATACCACAAACACATATGCCAATATATTTGTGAAGAACATAATGCATCACACGTATAAAAGTGCTAGGCGCTTCGGATAAGCCCATAGGCATGACTAACCATTCATACAAGCCATATTTGGTTTTGAAAGCCGTTTTCCATTCATCACTCTCTTGAATGCGAATTTGATAGTAGCCACATTTAAGATCAATTTTTGAGAAAATGGTGGCTCCACTAAGTTCATCCAGCATATCATCAAGGCGTGGAATGGGGTGTCTATAACGAACGGTGGTAGCATTTATGGGACGACAATCCGAACACATGCGATAACTACCATCTTTCTTAGGCACAAGAATAACCGGAGCGGCACATGGACTTAAGCTCTTGCGTACATACCCATTCTCCATGAGATGTTGGACTTGCCGTCGAATCTCTTTTGTCTCGTCGGGGTTGACGCGGTATGGTGCCTTGTTTGGTAAAGGTGTGCCGGGAATGAGGTCAACGCGGTGTTCGATTCCGCGAGGTGGAGGGAGTCCGGGAGGTAGCTCATCTGGAAACACGTCCTTGAATTCCTGCAACAAACGAGACAACACCAAAGGTAGATCCCGTGAAGTATTAGACCTCACCGCTTCATCTTTGCACACAAGTACAAAGTGAAGGACACTCGATGGGCTCTCACTCACATCCCTCATGTCTCTTTTGGTGGCTAAAAGCACTAAGTTTTTCTTGTTGCTCATTGTGTAGGAACTCAATTTTGATTTGTGGCGCTCACTCTCTTTTGGGTGCTTCACCCGCTCACTATTCTCTCCACGATGGATAGATGCTTGCTTGCCGGCGATCACTTGACTTGGCGACATGGGTTGTAGCGCGTACTCCTTGTCCTTCATCTTGAAAGTATAGTGATTGGTTTGCCCATTGTGGATGACGCCGCGGTCGAATTGCCAAGGTCCTCCTAAGAGGAGATGGCACATGGACATAGGAACCACATCACACTCCGAGGTGTCTTCATAGGCCCAATCTTGAATGATACTTGCACGGTGTGCTCCACTCGAATGGTGCCGGAGTCGCTAAGCCACTGGACCTTGTAGGAGCGAGGATGTCTCATCTTTACCAATTGTAGCATGGAATATAGCTCTTCGCTTGCCAAATTGTGGCAACTTCCTCCGTCGATGATGACCTTGATGGAGCTTCTGTAGATGCCTGCTTTGGCGTGGAAGATATGGCAATGTTGGTCTTCGTCTTGTTGGTGTTGAAGTGTCAAGACCTTGAAGACAACAAGAGCGGGGCTCAAGTCATTGTCAGAAAAAGACTTCGTCTTTATCTTCATTCACTTGGCGGTGCATTGTCATGTGCTCAAGTGCTTCCATTTCTTTCACTCATAGAGTCATAGGTGCCGGTCTCATCCATTTGAGTAGGTGATGATGAAGCTTTGGGCTTATAGTTGCTTGTAGTAGGAGGACGACTTGAAGATGTCGAAGGTTTCTTGTAGCTTGACTTGTCACCGTTGCTTGGTGATGCTTTAGTCGAGGGAGAAGGCGTCGTAGTCGTTGAAGCTTGATTGTATGAACGGTAGGTCTTGGAGGAATACTTGGCGTACTTGTAGTTCTCTTGCACTTGTCGTTCCGCCTTGGTAGCTTGGTGCACTAGCTCGAGAAGATTTGTGTGTGGTTGGAAATCGGTGATCTTCTTGATAGTGTGGTTGAGTCCATTCAAGAACTGTGCCATAGTTTGCTCCTCATCTTCCGTGACATTGGCTAGTATCATGGCAATCTCCATCTCTTTGTAGTACTCTTCAACGGACTTGGTGCCTTGCTTGAGAAGTTGCAGTTTCTTGAAGAGATCTCTACTATAGTAAGTAGGCACAAAACGCGCTCTGATGACCTTCATTTGATTCCATGTTATGATGGGTGGGTCACCTTTTGCTTCACGCCGCTCAATGACTTGCTCCCACGAAATGAGGACATAATCTTGGAACTCAAGTGAGGTTATGGCGATTTTTTTTCTCTTAGTCATAATTGTGAAGGCGAAATATCTTGTCGTCCTTCAATGCCCATGAGAGGCAATCTTCGGGGTCGTTGCTACTGGAGAACTTTGGCATGTTGAACTTGAGCTTGTCGTAGCGTTGCTCTTCATTGTGTAGGTGACGATGGTGTTGACGCTCTCGTTTTGGTGGAGGGTCTTGAACTACTTGCTCCTTGTGCTCCGCTTGATTAACTTAACGTTGAGGGCGTGGAATTCTTGAACGGTTCCTCAACTCTTGGCGCTCCTCAAGGCGTGCGGCTTCGTCTTGTCGCTCTCGTCGGAGGGCCTCTTGTTGTTCACGCACACGGCGGTTGCGGTCGTTGACGGCTCGTGTGGCTTCGCGCAGGGCACGTTGAGCTTCTAGGGCTTGTTCCTTACGGTGTTGTCGTTCTTGTTGTAGAGCGTCGCCGTCTTGGTTTTCTTGTTCTTGGCGTTGTGGAACTTGCTCTTGGCGACAATTACGTTCACGCTCCTTAACGCGGTCTTGCAAACCATTGCCATGGAAAGGATTGTCGGAAGCTTGATGATCTTGATGCGCTTGGCGACGAGGCGAACGAACTTGTGGGAGGCTTGCGTCTGAAGATGAATTCGGAGAATGTAGGCTTGAGTGGCGCCGTTATGATGATGATGAAGTTGTAGAAGAACGGTTGACCATCAAGGTGTGGAACTTGTCCATTTGTGATGACAGCTTCTTGTCGAGGTAGTCTCTTGTTCTTGCTTCGGAGTGCCTCAAGTCGCTGGCGTGTTGCTCGACGCGGTCGCTCAAAGCTTCATTAGCTTGATACAAAGCTCTTTGCGCACCAAATAGTTGATTCTTGGTGACGTAGTTGTATGGCTCTTCTTGCTTGTCGAAGAGAGGGTTTGTAGAAGTACTTGGCCTATCCATCTTCTCAAGCAAATATGTTAGTGAAAGAAACGGAAGAACCAGACCAAGTGTACTTTATCCAATGTTGAAGATGGATCAATGATCATCCAATTCGGTATTATGGAAATAGCACAATTGGTAGCGGATCTTGTCAATTCTCACACTTACACAAATAAAGCTTTTGGAGTAGCTTGGTGAGGATGTTGGCACAAAATTTATGCAATTGTTAGTAAGATTCAATAATGTTGAAAGAGATTCACAAATTTGCAAGTGAAACAAGTAACCAACAAGTGCAGCCATCATGTACCTTTTCTGCCTTTGCCTCCTTTGAGATTGCCATAGCATTAGAATCAGTTTCGGACTCTTCACTATGGCTGCCACTTGTGCTCATCTACATAGTCACAAAAGATAACAAAGTAATATGTGCATGTCATGATCAACACGAGCGATAACAAAATAACATTGTTCAACAAGTCTCAAGTGACATAAGGTAAAGGGAAATATAGTTCAACAAGTGTCAAGTGACATAACATAAAGGGAAATATTGTTCAACAAGTCTCAAGTGACATAACGTCAAGGGAAATATTGTTCAACAAGTCTCAAGTGACATAACATAAAGGGAAATATAGTTCAATAAGTCTCAAGCGACATAACATAAAGGGAATATAGTTCAATAAGTCTCAAGCGACATAACATAAAGGAAGGAAATAACACTTGCATGATCACATGTCTAAAGTGTGATCCTAACACCTATTTCGATAGTCTTCATATTGTTAAAGAAGCAACGATTTTCAAACTTAGCAAACAACTTGGTTGCTGTGAAGTACTCATCAGTTCCTTCATCTGCTCCACATGCCACAAGTTCTTCCATTTTCTTTTCAATTTCAATGGCAATACTATTTTGATTGTGGCCAAATTATCACATAGAAAGGCAGATGCAAACCTTGGGTGGAGCTAGAAAAAGGAGGCAGACGGGCAGTAACGCATCTCCACTCTTCAGTAAGAGTAACTGCAACGGAAGTCGGATAGTCGAGCTACCTTGCCATTATTCTTCCGCCACCTGACTCAGGAGGCATTGTATACGATGGGGTCGAACCGTTGCAGCTGGCAGGACAACATCTGGGAAGGTGCTGGAGACCCATGGAACACTCACCAGTCAGTGCAGCCTCTGACTGAAAGACTCAGAAAAGGTCTCGGAGGATCTGCGTTGCGCGTAGAGTTTAGAAGGCACCCAACTCAGTTTCTGGAGCAGCAGTCCAATAAAGTTGGGCTGGCCGGGACACCAGGACAGCGTGGTGCAAAGCCCTCACTCACGGGGCGTGGTGGGAGGAGCAGGTGATCGGATGATCTGGAGCGTTAAATGAGCGGATCGAATGGTTCAGAGCCTCAAAACACTGTGAGAGGATGTAGTTGGCTTAGTTCTTAATTTAATCCTTACCGAAATTTTATAAGAGTTTGTTTAGGCTAAACTTTTGAATAGGTACACTATTAAAAGTGAAACAGGAGTATCGATTTGGATGCATATGCATCTAGATAAAAATTCAAGTTCATATTTTGTACTCACACATCACATAGTGCACATTGAGTAATGCTGCATTCTTCAATTTACTGATATTATTGGGCCCTTTAACATGTGCTGGGCTTTACAATGTGACAGATTGCACGTAGGGATGAAGAAATGGCTCCTTACATCGCAGAATCGAAAAGGAACTATGTATTTGGTGGGATTTCTAGTGTTGCTGCTAATGCATCAATAAAGGTTTGTTCCGAATCACTGCTTATTCTTCTTGTTATAAGCCTCTACTGTCAAAGCAGATTCCAGATATCCTACTTACGGTTGTTCAATTATGAAAGGCACTCACACTAATGAAGTCCATCAACCTGTTGGGAGTTCAACAAATATGCAGAAACTCGATAGCACTAGAACAGGTAGGACTTTCATTTGCAGCAATAGTTTTTGATAGATCAAGTAGATGGCCGATTCCATAGTCACATGTGTAAATTATTTCTCTCTATGCAGGCACTTGCAGCCATACCTTCCATTGATAGTGAGGCAGTCCAACAGAGATTAGATCGTGTTCGGACATTCTATGAGCTACTAAACCTGCCTTTCGAGGTACACTAATAATAATACCACGTATCCATAGTCGTGTTTTTTTTTCCTTTTTTGCGAATATAATCGTGTTTTTCTTTGAAGCTTTAATCACCCTATTCCTCAATGTGCAGTCTTTGCTTGGGTTCATTGCTGAACAGGAATATTTTTTTTCTGCAAAAGAGTAAGCGTGTCGAATATTTTTCATTTACATTGTCATTGTTTTTGGTTAACCATATTTAGTTTGATGTTACTTTGTTTGTGTAGATACTTGAGCATACTAAAGGTCAATGTACCTGGTAGAGAGATACCAATGGATGCTGAACGACGTATCTCACAGATTTTGAGTCATTAAATTGAATTGGGCAAGATGATTTTAGCTGTAAGTGGTGGCAGATGTCTCACTGTATCTTTCTCGGCTTTCTCTGTAGCTGTAGTTAATTTTGTTATTTCTGTTTGGTTTTTTTCTTTTGATGTCTACAGTGTAGGTAATGTGTTATTTGTTGTCTCATTCACTGTAAATTTGTAGTGCTTTGACTGGAACGCTCATTCTTGATTGTTGTAAATGTGTAATCTTTTGGACGTAATTTTAATAAAATTCTCAGATTCATGTGTTCCGTTATTCAAATTGTTGCCGCCACATAGCACATGGTAAATAGTCACCACAAATGTGCCAATTGTGGCCATGAATTTAAGACCGAATGCGAGCCATGTGCTAGCAAATTGTGGTGAGCCATAGTTTCTAGTTTTAAAGAAAGACACTAAAAGGTACTCCCTCCATTCCAAAATATTTGTCTTTCTAGGCATTTCAAATGGACACAATATACGGATGTATGTAGACATATTTTAGAGTATAGATTCACTCATTTTGCTCCGTATGTAGTCACTTGTTGAAATCTCTAGAAAGACAAATGTTTAGGAACGGAGGGAGTATAAGATGTTTTAGATAATTTAATATGGACTATATATTGACTGAAATGAGTAAATAGACGCACTGAAATGTGTATATATACATTCAATTCTGAATTTTTTTTATAACATTGTATATTTGTGATTGAAGGGAGTATCTGATAATTATAAAAGAAAAGAGTAGTAGGTCAAACGTATATTTGTGAATGAAGAGGGTATCTGATGACTCTGAACGAAAATAGTAATAGGTACAGTTGAAAGGTTACAAGTCTCAGGTGACCAGTTAAACATAAATTACATCAAAAATCATATTGGTTAAGTCTTGATACAATGAAAAGACAAGAAGGCGTAAACAACCAGTTAAAATTAAATTACATACAAAAATCATATTGATCGTCTTCTCCGCTGAACATGGAGCAAGGGAAGGACACGCCTACAAAAGTTCTTGTCATACTAGTAAATGCTGAAGTAATGTTAGTTTGGGGCATCATCCCGGAGTGAATTGCAAAAAATATCGATATTGAAGCTTAAGGTTGCAAAAACCACTAATTCCGAGGCTATTTTTTTATAAAAAACACTAGTTGACAGATTTGGCTCATTTGATGACGATTATGACAGGTCAAGCCCACAAAAGCTGACGTGGCGTAACGGCTGACATTTGACGGTGTTCGACGGTGGATTTATACAGATTTACGAGTCCCCGTAATTTCACAAAGACACCCTCACTCAAAAATGAAAAAAGCAATCAGCCCCCGCCTCGTCGTTTGCCTCCTCATCTGTCCTCCACGGAGGTGGCAGCGGCGTGTGCTCGTGGCCGGCGCCGGCACCGGCAGCCGGAGTCCCCACCCTTTGCTATCTCCCCGACACGCGCACCTACACCGTTGTCGTTTCTCACCTCGCCTCCGCAGGGTCTGTCGACCAGGCGCTCGAGGTCTCCGGCTCCCGCCGTCGCTGCGCACGCGGATATGGCGGCCGTCGATGGAGACCACGGTGGTTGTTCCGCAAGCATGACCCGCACGTCGTGCTTGAATGCCGTGACGCGGTCGAATTCTGCGAGGTCCAGGTCACTGAGAGGGACGGGCGCGACGGCGAGGTCCACAGCCATGGCGACGGGCGGTGGCGGCTCGCTTTCCCGGTCGGGTTCCGCCGGATCCGGTGCGTAGGAGGGAGAGGAGGTCGGAGCTGGAACCACGCCTTGCAGCCCTCCCAGGCGGGCGCGTCCTCGCCGGATCCAGTACCGGGCGGGAGCATTGGAGGCCACGGCGGCGGCCAGATGTGGCCGGATCCGGCTTGGGGACGGCGGCGGCCCGATGTGGCGGGGAAATGGCGGCGGCGGCGCACGAGTGATATAGAGGGGAGGAGGTCAGCTGTGGCGTTGCAGCTTCGGTGGCTCGCCGGCCGGACGAGGACGTGCGGGGGCTCCTGGACGGCGGCAGGATCGGGCACCTCTGGGAGTTGGCTGTTTGTTTGTTAGAAGGAGTTTTTTGCAAAAAAAAGTCTAACGTTAGTCCGAACCGTTATGCCACGTCAGCTTTTGTGGGCGCCACATGTCATAATTGTCATCAAATGAACCAAATCCGTCAATTAGTGTTTTTTGCAAAAAATTAGCCTCGAAATTAGTGGTTTTTGGCACAAAACTGTAGAAGTGTGGTTTCTGCAACCCTAGCCTTCAATGTCGATGTTTTTTGCAATTCACTCCCCCGTGTAGCATACACTTGCAATCTTGAAATAGGACCATGTTTTCGAACAAATCAAAAGAGATCGAAACTGTTGTACCAAAAGACAATCAACTGCCTCCTTAATTAAAGTACGAACTACCAATATCCAAAGATAACCTTCATGGCTTATACGTTATTCAGGTAAGTAGTGGTCAGAGAGACCTTATTCTAATGCGTCATTGTTTACCACCACCTCATCGATGCCACTAGTAAATCAAAACCTAAGGAAAACAATGACCTACTAGAACTAAGACAAATGAAAGGGGCATGTCCCCACTAGACTAGCAACCAATAAGGACGCCAGATGAGAGAAGGAGGGGCATCGAGGCGCGACGATGAGAAAACCTTAGTGGCAGCTAGGGTAGGGGCTGACTACGTGTTTCTAGGGGAGAACGAGGACAATGTGTGAGTCATGACTTTTTAACAGTGAACCAAACATATGATTAAGAAACCATCCTAAATTTCGTAGGGTCCCTATGGATGAGCATCTTGCTGCAAATGCATTTTCTTATGATTAAGGATATGTTTATCACATATTATGTTGGTAATTCGTCATGTGTAACTAATGTTGGCTACTTCTAAAAGTTTGGCACATTGATGCGAGGGTGGTACTTTTAGATCTATTTGGGTTCAGATTTGCCCGGACAAAGAGTCATATTAGGTTACAAGTACCAAATAGTTAGTGTGTTCTTGTAGAATCGTGTTGCGAGGAGGGGGGTTGTTATGTGACATGTGTTTTCTAAATAGTGTTAGAGTTATGTTGATGATGCCCTTTGACATTTCACATTCTAGTCTTGTGGCATCCCACTTGTACATAAATAAATGATGGTTTTGGCCTCCCTGTAATATGGGAAACCCTTCCTATCAGTATAATGATCCTTGAATTCTCGTCAAACGCCTTTAGGGTCGTTGATGCAAGCGTTTCCATCCAATGACACTCCCATACTCGAGACTTGCTAACCAACTGCACCTCTTCATCCATTATCTTGGAACCCTAACCACCTATTGATGGCCTTCATACACCAATCTCCTCAACGGTATCATGCTCTATCCACGAAACGCCGAAAAATCCACCGCCTGCATATCCGATCTCGTTGTGCCACTAGTCGCTCTGGCCACAGCGAGATCATCATGCACCCTCATCCCATGGCGACATGAAGGAGACGCTCCACAGAAGTCGCAGCCGAAGCGACGAAGCCCACGCAAGAGGACGTCAGGCGCATAAGATCTCTGCTGCCCTGTCCCACCACCGTGCTCCATCTCCCTCGGCTTGCTGCCTGGTGACGAACACATTCAATTCTTTTTTGTTGTGCTCACGCCTTGGTGCTAACCACCATTGCTTCGATCTTGTCAGCGTGTTGCATCGATCCCTCTTGTTCCCGTTGCCAACGTGGTTGGTGGTGGCACCCAGGTTGCGTTGTTGTTGCTATGGTCCAGCGGACGCGTCTTTGGCCGAAGCCTTTATGCTACCCGATAACCGTGTAACTCTCCTAGTCTTTCTCTTCGATGGGAATGTACCTGAATAGATTTCCAATATTTTGGAAGCATACATTTAGCCGTGCATTCACACCAGAAATACATGTAATTGTTTCTCAAAACATATTTTTAGTTTTCTGGAAGCATTTTTTCACTGTGTTTGGAACAGATCTAATTGCTTCTTCCCACATGTAAATACTTCATTTTTTGCCAATGGTGTATCCGTCCTTGCTCTATTTTTGCTTCTTACGCATAAGAACGATGCTTCTATTATCTACTCCCTCCGTCCCAAAATACGTGTCATTTATTTGGTACACCTTTGTACTAAAGTTGTACTAGATCAACGACGATTATTTTGGGACGGAGGGAGCATTACACAATAACCAAATGATGCAACACATCTAAACTTGAACGAAAATTTCTATTGGGTACTGCTCATGCTTTCAACATTAGTGCAATATGTTTCATACACAGCAAAATAATGCTTCCAACCTTAGCGCAGTATGCGTCAAATATTCCATATCACCTATGCCTGGGTTTTGCTTTCAACATTGAAGGAACGAACCATGAGTAATTTCAGGGGTAGTTTGTTTACGGGAGCAAATTTCGAAGGTAGCGCAGAGCACTAACTGTGAGTAATTTTCGGGATAGTTAAAGGGTGTCATCAAAGGAGTATTGCTTACCAATAAAGTGGAAACTTACATGTAGCGGCGCCATCCTACGCTCTCCTATCCAACGGTACGGTAGAGCAATGGTCTGATGGAAGCACATGGATTAGTAGTTTGATCGCTATTGGTTTCCCTAAGACTACTGCTACAAAGCGTTTCCCCATAATGTTAAAGGGAGCCGCTAGGGATCAGACTACTGATCCCTTGCTTCTCATCAGACCAGTGCATGACCGTAGGATGAGAAGAATCACCGCCGTCAGATTTGGTAGTACAAATCCCGTGTTGGTTTGCTTAATTAATGGATGCTTTCTGTTAGTGAGGGGATTTATGCATTAATCACATCTAATTACTTACCGAAAATAATTGTGATTTGCTTCTAGGAAACAAATATATTTTTATTTTTCCAGATGCATTTTTGTGCAAGGAAACATCACTTTTACATTGCGATGTGCTTCAAATAAACAAATACAAAAAATATATTTTCGTAGATGCATTTTTTCATGGCAAGTTTTTTCTTTGAGAACTTTTTCGTGGCAACTTTGCATAGAAGCATTACTTTTTGTCAATGGAAGCACGCTTTCAGGTTGCAAACATATTATTCAATCATAGAAGCATTACTTTTATTGATGGAAGCACCCTTTCACGTTGCAATGGAAACATATCATTCAACCATGCGATAAAAATCTTTTTATTTTATCCATGGAAGCATTATTTCTATGACATGGAAGACTCTTTTTTAGTTGCTTTGGAAACATTAGTTGGTGTACCAAAAATAATATTCACATTTGATAAAAACATTTGCTTCGCCAATGGAATCGTCTGTGGAAACACAAAACAGAAATATAGAGGGCCTCAAAATTCATATACAAATCATAAACAATTCTTTTTAGAACAACAACAACAACAACAACAACAACACTAATTTCACTTATGCATTGTCAGCTTCGATGCACGTTTTCAATTAACTGATCATATGAAACCTCCGCACCGTCACAAGTTTTTCTTCAACAAGATAGCCTCTTATAAGAAGTAATGCTTGGTCCAGCACACTCAACACTATTAGCATTATGTTGGAAATAAAGACGCGCCTGAATCAAGTGGGAAAAATATTTGTACATGGAAAACATGAGAAAGAAATAATGAAGCTAACCTCAGTAGTGGTTGAAACAAAAAATATTGCCGCACGAAGCAACATGCATGTACAATAATATGACTAAAAGAAGACTCACATGTATTGGTTCAAGCACTCACTTGGTTGAACCAATATCTCTAGACAACAACAGAAGCCCACATGACAATGCTTGAAGCCGAGATTCACTACCATGGAAACATTTATAAGTAAATTTTAGAAGCATCTTGTATATTTTTCATGAAAACACAAATGAGATTCAATGAAGCATACATTAGTAGTGGTTCATACAAAAAAATTGTTGCAAGAAAAATGTATGAACAATAATTTTTTAAAAAGATGCAACATTGTTGTGTCTATAGCACAAACTGATATTGGTTGAAGCAGTCGAGGGGTGATTCAGAAGCATAATTTGCAGGGACCATGAAAATATGATATATACATATTATTAATCTTGAATGAAATCATAGAGCATTGAAAATGAAAGCATATTTTCTAGCCCAAAAAACATAGCTCATTGAGAAAGAAGAATGGAAGGAGAGCCCAAGGAACAGAACAAGTGTTACTTGGAAGCATGGAATTTTGAAATTAGAACATGTCAATATGAAGCATGAAAAGGGTGCTCCGGATGAGGAATTATTGGGTACGATGCATGTGCTATGTCAGTAGGAGCCAACTTAAACTGGAAGCATAAAATTGAAATGGAAATTAAACAACGTAGACACAAACATGTAGATGCATCTTTCTGTCAACTATACTGGAAATTCAACAATAATGGTTGAAGTATTTCAAGGAAAAAACTATCGATATATTTGTAGTATACATTGGAAGCTCCATATATAGGAAGCATGTGAAGGTTGTTATCTCAACAATTCTCAACTTCATTGGAAGCATTGAACTTCCACACTAAAAAGACAACATCGATTGTCGTCAACATAGCTATGGAAGTTAGGGTGATTTGAAAACCAAAAACAACTAAATTGCATGATGATTTAATGACGTAATAATGAATAGAACAATTTCACACCAACAATAGTCAATATGTGAGCATGTGTACCTATGAATATACCACACCCAACACTGACACCTAGTTACAGTGTTGAAATTAAAGATC